GAGATGAATAAATTCAAATGAGCGTCTTTACTCTTTTTAAAAAAAAAATTTTTAATTTAAAAAATTTAAATCAAAGTGAAAGTGTAAAAAAAAATTTCTAAATTGTTAAATGGGAAAATTTTTAAAAATTTTCAAGAATGCATAGAAAAAAAAATTATAAATCATAAAAAATAGAATAAAAAAAAATAATTCAGCAGAACGTTCAACAAAATAATTCCTCGAACGTCAACAAATAAAGTTTGAAAAAAATCATGCGTAATAAATTGTACGGGAAAACTCAGGTAAAAAAAATGAATTAAATTGAAGCCAAAAAAAAAATAAACTGATTGAACACTTTAATTAATTGAAATTTGACAAAAAAATTTACTAAAAAAGAGTAAGAAAAACACTTTACGTTAAAGTAAATTTAAAAAACCTCAAGAGTAATTTGTTCAAGAATATAAAAAAAAATAAAACACAGGAACAAAAAAGGGAAATTTAAACTTACAGTGACGGAGCAACCACCAGTATTAATTTTTCTTACAACAAATTCCTGCTGGACTGATACAACAAAAACTTGCGTGATGATACGACAAAAATTTGCTGGCAAAAAATAATGGTACACAGTCTGCGAAAAAATTAAAGGGAAAGGACACTGTTGGCAAAAGAAAAAAAAAACAAATAGAAATAAATGGAAAAAATTGGTATACTGGGGTGAATATACGCATGAATACAATGCAATACAATAAAAAAAAAATTGGACACTTACAAGGGGACTGATGGGACATACACAATAAAATTACGAAAAAAACGAATAGATAAAAAAAAACAGGGTAAAAAAATTAAGTAAATGAAAAAAACTGAAAAAAATTGGAAAAAAAACTTTTAAGAAATACGCGTTTACATGAAAAAAAAAGGTTTAGAGTACAAAAACAATTTTTTATAAATTCTCACACTCGCAAATGTCTTTAAAAACAAGAAAAATGTCTCAAGAAAATTATCACGAAGTCGGAATAGAAACGGACGGGGTGGTGACGGGGGGGAGTGGTTTGGTTCCCCCACGGGAGGCTGACTCCCTCATTCATGTTGTCGTGAAAAAATGTGCATTCTAGACGAACCACATAACTGGCTTTATCTCGTTGGCACCGTACAAATTTTTGAAATTATGTGAGCCAAAAAAAGTATAGGCCCGGGACAAGGGTGCAAACAACCAAAGTTTATGGGGGGAAGGCTGGTGGGGTGGGGAGAGTGGTGGGATGCTTCGTGAGGTACTGCCCCGCACCCCCGGGGGTGGGGGAGTGGTGGGGGGGAGCGGGGGTTCGCGCCCCCCCACTACCACGAAGATGGTAACAACCACTCTTGCCCAGGATGGTAAAAAAACCACTCTTAAACATCCCAACCCCGGAAGCACAAAGCGATTAAAAAATACCTCATAGGGGTTGGCTTCTTTTACTGCGTGGTTACTTCTCTCTCTCAGTGGGTTAGAAATGGGTTGGCTGATGGCTTCCCCCGGAATGGCTGAGGAAGAGTTTTAACGATGCCCAAAGCACGGGGGAGCAGTTTTTGGTGACAGGAGAAGGCTGGGTGATAGGCTGTGGCGTTCACTTCCACAGTTTGGCTTACTGACGGCTTAATTGCAAAATCCCGGGCAACCCTCGGGAAATTTAACAATTAGCACACGAACTAGCAGGGAAACTTGAAAAGGGTGCAACGGCTTGCGGCGAAGCTGTGATGAAAGGGAAACGGGGCTGGAGGGGTGAGGGTATAGCGGGGGCTCGGGTGGTGCGGGGGGTTTGTGGTTTCCCCCGGCTACTCACAACAGTCTTCAAACCTTTAAACCCTTAAAAAAAAGAAAACCACGCTCCACACCGGTCACCATTTATCATGTGGGGGTTCGATACGGGATTAGGGTAGAAATACTCACGAGGCTGTTTACGATAATTTTGATATGTGGAAGGCCCCCCACCGTACCATCTCCTTTCTTCCCCCGTAACATGATAGCCCTTGGCCAGTACCCGTAGTGGGTGTTTTAAAAAGGGCTAGCACAATGAGTGAATCAACGGCGGTTTCGGTAACTGGTTACTAGACTGGTAATGGGTTTCTACTAGAGACACACCACCACCACCCCACCACCACCACCACCATTACCACCACCACCCCACCCCTACCCCCACCACCACCACCACCACCCCCACCACCACCCCCCACCACTCCACACCCACCCACCACCACCACCACCCCCACCCCCACCACCACCCCCCACCACCCACCAATCCACCACCCCTTTCCCCCACCACCCCACCACCCCCTTACCACCCCCACCACCCCCCAAAAAAACGTTGTTGTTAAACAATACAGTAACGTGGTCGTTTTCAGGCTTTACACCAAAACAATATATGGGAAATAAATCACTAGTGTGAGATAGGTATAGAATTTTAACCTGAGTGAGTGGAATCAGGGCCCCCGATTTGGGTTTTAGAAACCTGTTAGTATGGGCCCGTAGGCCTGCTGCAGGGTCCTCCTTTCTTAGTTTTTTGCAAAAAGCACAGTAAAAAGGTGATTTAGAATATGAAAAATCCCCTGTTTTAAGTATAT